AATTGCCTATAATTAAGAGCAGAAAAGCCGACAAGACAAACTGAATTAATTTTATAGTTTCGATCTTTTCCTGTTGCATTGTTATTATTCGATATAGCTGCAAATAGCATCGATGGTTGCAATATAAATAATTTAATAAAGCTGACAATAACGATAATAATAATGTAACCAAAATTTTTACACACACGAAAAAGACTAACGGCGGCCGAAACTAAAGATGTCAGAATCATAAGAAGGTACGATATTCCAAAGCTATTTTTTAATAAATCCGAAAATCTAATAGAATAAAGATTTCTCATTATTACTCTTCATCAGAAAATTACAGAAAGTCGTAATATTTTGTCTTCGAGCTCTTGCTAATTTGTATAATAGATTTTGTTGGAATTAGTAGCATACTGACTCAAGCGCTCTTCTATGGGTGTCCACTGCAGCCATTAATTTGTTATGGAATACAATATAGCTTTCAGATGCAGGTATTTGTGAAACATCTAAGCTTAACATACGTTCCACACGGTAACTATAAAATTCGGTATGTTATGAAGAAGATACGCAAAATATTGAAGCACACAATTATTTTTCTTATGCATGTATATGAATGCATTCAACAATAATTAATATACATCAAAATGTGCCAAAATTCAATAAAATATACATTCGGGAGCTCTTATATTATTCACTTAAAAATATTTTCTTCATTAAAAGATATACTAGGTAAATTTTTAGGTTGAAACAGATAAAAATAAACAAAAACAGTGAAAAATTGTTCATTAAAAATTATTTCTCTCTTACGATATACCAAGTAACTCTAAACATTCCGAACGCATGTAATGCGTTTATTAATGAAAATGTCTCAGCAGCTATTCCAGCAGAACTACAAAGGAATAAGGCAATGGTTTCATGTATCATTACGATATAAAAATACTTTTCCTGTATAATCGAGTATTTTGCTTGATACAGAAGTAGACGCGAGCGAGATTCATTTAAAGGCATTACTGCATCAAGAAAATCCGGACTAAATTGTATTAGAATAAAACCAACATATCCAGCATAGACCAAAACTGAAATATGTTAAGTTTTATTAATTTAGTCAGTTAAAGAAAATAATAGTTGCCTCATGTTTAAACGTTCCAATTATTTGCTTTGCCAATATTAGCAAAATTATAAAAATCATAAAAATTATAAAAAAGAGTGCGTAATTGCCGCATTAATTTGAAAACTTCAACAAGCACGACTTAGGAGGATTTCTCAGTCATCTTTTTTGCCAACTCAATCAAATATAGTTTTTGCGCTTGTAATTTTTTTTTATTAGTTTTTATGCACGTAGCTACGCCCTTACACATAATAAAATTACATCCGAATTTAATCAGGACGAAGTAATTAAAAATTTATTGGAAAATGTTTTTACTTACTAATTAAAGCTATTGTAGATTGTCTTCCCATGTCGGCATATTTGTGCATTATGTCGATTTCTCGATTATCGGATAAAATATTCCAATTACTTTTGACACATTTCCGTAATTGTTTTATCTATTAATGCATGCGAAAAATGTTATTGTATATAGTGATTAACTTCAAATTATATTTAGATTAAATTATTGCCGAACTTACATTTTCCTTAACAAGGAATACAGTAACGTATTTGACAAACCACACTAAAATGTAGAAAATAAGAGCTAATGCTTCCAGAAAAAAATCAAGGTTGAATTCCGGAATGAGTAATCTCATAAACTGTAAGCAACATATTTAATAATATGCGAATAATATTTTATAATTATAGAATTACTAGTAGACGATGCATATCTGAAAGAAAATATATTAAAAAAACTCATGCATACGCACAAAATGTACGTTTAACGTATGTGTATTCTAAATACATATATTGCATATTACGTACTTATCTCTTGCCAGATTATCCAAAGTATTTTATTATTTATAATGATTCCAAATATTGCAATTTCTTGTACATCGAAATGAAGAAAGATGAAACTATTTAACTTTCAAATCGAAGTATTTAAATCAAATATTTAACTTTAGATCACGCAATAATAAACATACATGATTACATATACGTAATCAATTAGGTATATGTAACTTTTGATGAGAAAATGTTACTCTAAAGCAACTGTGTTATGAGATTCAAATAATTTGAAAGTCATTTTATAATTATGTTAAACCTTTCTTTGAAATATACAATTATGTCTCTTATACAATAGAGATTGAAGTGTTTATTAGATAAATACCAGTATTTAGAATATTAAATCGCTATTTATATGTGAGTGTAAACTGCGTGTATAATGATTTTTGTAAATAATTTTTTGTCAAAAATGCAGATCACATTCCTTTTATTATAATCTATTTAGCACGCGCACAGCATGGCTCGTAAAAAATGAAAGAAATATAAAATAAAAATATAAAGATCGATATGAATATTTTATATAATTTTTTCTACAATTATATGCACAAACCAATATTAAATGTATTATATATTTTAGTATGCCAAATTTATTTATATTAGAAGAACTCTTTTCAAAAGCAGATATGAACAATGCAACAATGTTAAGAGTGAATATATATAACAAGTGAAATTAAGTATAATGTATCGTATGAAAAAAAAACAGATACCTGAATTGTTAAATACAATCCAAAAATCAGTAGTGATAGTATGACTTGAATTTGTCTGATGGTAGAATTATCGTAGGGCCAGAGTCCAATCGATGACAATAGCATATGATTGCGTCTATAGTACTTTGCTTCGAAGCCTTCCATCTTGGGTAACAGTCCAAGTGTCAATGAAAACCTATAGCCTATAGAAGTTTCTTTCCCCTTGCTCTGCCACGGCTCACGTAATTTCCTCATTATCATATTATTGTATTATCAACTTTTACACGTTTAGAACATTAAAGATAAGTGCTATAATTGAGACTTGGATCTTATATTCTTCTTATGCTTATTCACCTAAGAAGAATATAAGATCCGGAAAATAAAATTTTAAATAAAAAATAGATTTCTTGCGAAAAAGCAACGATACCTTTGCATTATGTTCTATTACAGCATTAACTAAATTATAGTAAATTATAGCCAGGTGAATACTTTTTATTTTTCTTATCTAACATAAACCCGCACACGGGGAACAGAATTTATACCAGTAGGACATATAAAATCGAGTGTGATCACCTCTGTATTTCGTACTTCAGAATGTTTCGAACGCAGAATTGTTGAATATATTCAAACATAATAGAAAGTGATATTAAGCTGCAATTCCTCAGATAACAAAAATTAATTATAAAACATAAATCAACAGCAAATTTTGTGAGTATGACACTGTTACTGAGACCCAAGAGATGTTTTAATTGAACTGACCTAGTATTTATTTTAAAGACAAAAAGGTACAACAATGTGATATTATTATAAAGAAGTTAAAATGACAAACTAATCTAACTATTACGTTATCATCATCATACCCGTCTCTACAACCCCAAGTGGTCCCTGGCCTGCACCACAAATTGCCTCCCATTTTTTTCTATCCATCGCCGTCGTCCTCCATGACCTTATGTTCAGTACTCTCGCGTCAGTCTTCACGTCATCCATCCATCTCATTCTCAGTTTGCCCACTCTCCTGGTCTCGTACATTTGTCCCAATAGATTTCTCTTAGCGATCCTGGCGTTGTCGATTCGTATTACATACCCGGCACATCTCAGTCATGCTCCTCTGACACACCCAACGATGTTTGATTCCTTGTACAGTTCGTACAGTTCGTCGTTATAGCGTATACATCATTCAATTGGTCCGTTGTTTATATGGCCATAGAGTTTTCGTAAAATCTTTCCCTGAAAGTATGCCAGTCGGTCACTATCTTGCTTTGTCATTGTCCACGTCTCGCATCCATACAGTACCACCGATCTAATCAGTGCCTTATATAGTTTTATTTTGGTATGTTTCGATACAGAGCGTGACACCTCATTATTGGTAACAGTGCGTAGTAGTAGTAGTTTGCTTTCCTTGTTGATTCGCATCCTTATCTCCGCATTTATTGCACCATCTTTGTTGACTAGTGTTCCCAGGTAAATAAAATTTTTCCTTTGGTTCTCACGTCATTTATTCTGTATGTGTATCCATCGATACACTTTCAAGATGCGTCTCGCATGAATACATGCATTATAGTTACATGCATCTTCGTATTTTAGCGGTCGGTTTTCGCGATCAGTTTTTTAAAAATTTTCAAGAAATTATTAATTGTTTAATTTCATCCATATTATAAATTTCAATTTATCGCGGAATGTAATTAAGATAAATATAACGCAAAGTAAATTGCTATTTTCTATGTACTTGAATTTTGAATTTAAAGATTGAGTCACGAAGAATCAGTAATTACCTATTTTCAAATAAATAACGGAAATAAAAATACATTTGATGAGTTTTATACAGCAATTTTTTTATTTAATTTTCTTCTTTAATTAACTTCTAGTGGTCGTGGTTTCGATACGATCGACGCTCGCATTTTATAGTTCGAACTGTACGAAATATCTGTCGGTGACGATAATAAACCGATTAAGGAAGGAGTCTTCTTCCTTCCTGATTTCTGGTCAAAATGACCAGACTGTATGGCTAAGAGCAACGAAAGGTATATCCAATCTCGCCCAACGAAAGAAGACTGAATACGACGAGGCAAGTGGTCAACATTGGCTACTTTGATTGGGTATGTAAGTAACGTGATGTACGAAATAAGTTGATTTCTTCTTATTTGTCAAAATTCGGGAGAGTTATACTCTTATCTTCTTTACATATTCTCACATATGTGCGCGATTAAGAGACCTCTATTAAATTCCAATCGCGCGCGTATAACTCCAATTCTGACCCCTTATAAATCGCTTTACGGTTTTAACGAAAGACTTGTAGGTTTATTAACAAAAAGTTGAAGCGCTGGTAGGTAGAAAAATGGATAGGATTCTACAGAGCGGAATACGGGTAGGTAAGGATTCGGATAGGCAGGAACAGGGGGATAGTGAGAAAACTTCATTGACGAGTTTAATATTTATCAATGAAATTTTTCACTTTTTCACGCTAGAGACAAAGATCCACTATATAGTATAGCCCCAGGATAAGGTGCGGATCGCACAATATATGTGTCAGCTTTACACCTAACTATTAGTTTAAATTTAGCAACAACATATACAATATAATCAAGATTCAAACTTTTTTTAATTAAATAAAATTTTTAGTCACTTTTCTCATTATCAATAATTTTGTTAAATTAATATGACTTTGTAAGATCTCTATACATTACCATGTATCTTAATAAAATTGTTAAATCGCTGGATGTATCTTTTGTAACTGAACTTTTTATTTCTCTTTATATGGAACACAAGAGCGTCATGACAGAAAGCACTAAACTCATGGTCTGAAACAAAAAACATTACAGATCTCAGTAATGTGATGAATATTTTTATTATTAATAAATGATTTTTCTAATTATAGCATGATTTCTTACCGTGGTTAAACCTTCCAAACTAGGACTAAACAGACCACCAGCATTAATTTTGTAACTTTTTGTAGTTTTTCTCAGTAAAAAAAGTATAAACTTTTGTATCTTTAATGGAGCATTGTACCATTCTGTATTACATCTACATTACAAAAAATAAATTATTCTCTTAACATATATTTGTACATGTAGAAATTTTATATACATGTACAATATATAAAGGGTGTCCTGTTCTATTTTTGACAGTGAAATATCGAAATAACGGATTTCAGAAAAAATAATTTGGATCACCACGTGTCATTCGCTTTAAAAAAATTAAATACTTAAACAAATCCTGCGAGCAAATATTACATTTTGTCAGTATACTTAAAATATTGTACAGTAACTTGAACAGTAGATATTTTAAGTATTTTTAAGTAAATTTTTTAAGGGATACGCTCAGGCGCTAAGATTCGTTCCTGTTTTTTACTCGATAATTGTTGCAAATTATACAAAATAGCGAATAATTTTTCTTTTTATTTTATCCCAATTTGTCGCCATCTTTCGAGTGATCACTTTTATGTCGGACACCCTGCATATACA